GGTGTCGTTTTGCTGGAGCGTGCATACGACTACCCTGCGAGGTGTGCTAGTATTTGCCTGAGTGGCGCGGTGCTGGTGGTGTTGTATGGGGTACATCCTCGGGGGTACCGAGCGTGTTTGGGTGTGTTTGCTTCGCAGTGCAGCTACTTGTTTGGTGAGTGCGTTCTAGATCCTAGGTGTAATTGCTCCTGACCAAGGGAGTTCTGGGGGGGTAGGAGGGATGCTTTCATTGTTCTGCTACAAAGTGTGAGTGCATATGTGGGAGTACTGCCGTGCCCTGTCGATTTTTGAGGTGGGCTATGCAGTGCATCCAGTGTCTGGTGCTAAATAATTTGCAGATTCTATCATGGAGAGTAGTGACCTAGAGGCAACATGTAAGCCAAGTCATTCAACATTAAATATTAGATTGGGCAGGCAAAAAAAAAAAAACTTTTGGTGGTAGTAGGATTTGCAAAGATTATGCTTGAGTCCTGGTTATGCTTCAACTGGGGGGGATTAGGTGCCCTGGGTCAAACCGGTCTCCAGAGGCTGTCGCTGTTCCGTGATCTGGGAGCTCCTGGCCCGTGGGATGAACGGAGTGATGTGTTCTGGGTCCCAGTTATCTGTGGTTGTTCTCCGAGGTGGGTTAGCAGCAATCAGAATGTTCAGTCCCAGTGTTTCTAGGAACGCGGGTGCGCCTTCCATTGAGGTGAGTGTGTGTTGAGTTCCGTTACGTTTCACTGTTAGTGAACCATTGGTCCCCCACCTGTATTCAATGCTCGTCGATCTCAAGCTACTGGTGAGAGAAGAGAAGGTTTTTCTCCAGGCTCTCGTGAGGTCCTGGAAGAAATTCAGTGTAGTTCCCTCGAAAGCCAGTGGTGTTCTCCCTTGGAGAGCCGCCATTAGCTGTATTTTGTCCTGTACTGTTGGACATTTAAGTATCACGTCTCGGGCTATGTTTGTTGGTGCTCTAGTGGATGAGGGTAGGCGATAGATCTCTGCTGTGGCTAGTTCTTTCGCTGTAGCTGGAGGCAAGATTGTGGCCAGGAGGCGTCTGAAGTAGTGTGGTAGTTCGTTTGGTGAGATTTCCCCTGGGATGCCCCTTATTTTTATGTTAGTGCGCCTTTGCCTTTCTTCCAGAGCAGTGAGCTGTGCAGTCATGTCTCTTTGGTGGGTATAGATTTGCTGCACTGATTCTTGTAGCTCTGACAGGTGATCCTGCAGGCTCGTGATGTATTTTTCAGATGCCTGCACCCGTTCGGTAATTGCTTTGTCTTTTTTTTTTTTTAATG